AGTATTCTCAAACCTGCATATTTCTTCCATAACGAATCCGATTTGGAGGCAAATAGTTCATAGCAGGCGTTTCGTAGTTCATTTGTAGTGGCGCCCCATTGAATATCGGCTGAAATGGTCCGCCACCTTCCATCACATTTGATAATGGGTTGATGTCAATACCAAACGATTCATTTGGAATCGGAAGTTCTCTATTCACACTGGCAGGCGAGCAGGCCCCCAGCACAGAGCAAGGATTCAGTACGCTTTGATAAGGTTTGTATTGGGTGGATTCGGTGGTCAAACATCGATCTTGCATCACGGAAAGAGGATTTAGTCTCGGTTTCCCAGCTTGATTCGCTAGCTCGCGGTCGCGACGATTGGCTCGCAAATCCCTGGTGAAAATCGGAGATCTACTTGCAGTTGGTGATCTTGCAGGGTCTTGCTCAGTGGTAGTGGAACAACTCTCACTGGCCGGGCAAATTGATTTAGCTGATTCTGCTTGAGATTCCGCAGCAACTTTAGAATCGGAGATTGTGGACGCTAGTTTGGTAGCATTTTCAACAACCGGTCCATGCCCTTGAGTGGTTTTTGGAACTTCCGAATTACTATCGACGTTTGTCCGTTCTCTCTAAAATATGTCCGAACTCATAGAAAAAGCCGATTGTTTTGCCAATTTGGAAGACTTACTTTACTTGAGTGCGGGTATACATCTTTGAAACTGCATATGAATGGTGTCGTTATAGGGTATTCCCTTATCCAATTGCAGCTTGTGCACTCAAACTCGAAATGACCATTTCTGCTGCACCCGGAACACCATTGCCGTTCTCTTGGTCGAACATCGGCTTTCTCGGGCTTTACAATCGGGCCCGCTTTAATCTGAAAAGAAACGGACTATCGTCAAAACCAATACACCCACCAAATATAGCAACTCCAAACTTACTGTTAAATAATATCGCCTCCAAAGATCTGGACACGAGTTGCCCATATGGCCGGGCAATTTGCACACGTAACAAATTCCGTAATTTATCTGGTTGGCGCACTTCATGCAAGAGGTTGTTGTATAGCTGCTGCGCTTACCGCACTACAATAACATACACTATTAAGCTGCAAAGACATCCTTCAAATAAAATTTACATTCAAACAGATTTTGTGAGGACATCTAGGCTCCTGATGGCCCTGAAAGCCGCACATTGAGCAGCTCGGAATTCTTAACCTGTTCCTGCAGTGTTGGGAAATGTGTCCCCGTTCTCTACAACGTCTGCAACGTGGTCCACCACTTTCGACACTTATTATCTGCTGATCGGCTGGAAGGATTTTCCACTTTTCCGGATCATCTGAATATCGAAGATAAGAGATTGATTGCAGTTTCTTGATCAAATCGCATTGGCCTAGTCGTACCTGACATTTTGCTCTGTATGAAATCGATATCGTACTTGGGATCTTGCAGGATTTCAGGAAGTCGATCGGTAATGAGCTGCACATTCGCTAAATGCAGTTCTTCTGCAACCGTCGAAAAACAGCCGGATTCGTTCTCTACTTCCGAATCGGAAGACTCTATTGTATGTATCGGAATTTCTAAAATATCACAATAACTGCTAATAGTTAAATGGCTACGCGCTATACATTTAAAATACCTTTCTCTATAAGAATCACATCGTCACTTTCATCAAACTTGTCACGCTCTGGGTCTTGGTCGTCCAACTCTGAGGTGTTAAGATCTATTACATCGATTAACTGACCTTCCATTTCTTTCCTTCCGGCGCTTTCTTCATTTTCATCTACACAATTCTGGCCTTTTTCGACTATTTGCTCCACAACATCTTGTTCGACATTTTTATCTGGCGGAGCCTCTTGACCATCAGACCATGATTTGGTTGCTGAGGACAATCTCTTTTTCTTCGATTTTTTCTTTTTGGGGCTCTTCTCGAAACACTGATTCTCCAGTAGTTCATATGTGGTGATGACATCAATATTTGCCACGGTTTCCTTTCGCTTCTTCGACTTTTTCTTTACAGTGTCTTCAGTGTTAATCAAAACGTCTGGGTCATGATTAACTTCGACTTCCACCGGACTGCCACTTCTTCGACGCTTTTTTTTTCGTTTCGCTTTTCGAGGTGCATCAACCACATCCGTTTTCGTCTGATCATTAGGTTGGAAACTGCCTACTACCTCTGTTTCTTTGACATCTTTAACAGCTGGAATAAACAAAACATAAAAATAATAAAATCCACAAATTTTTATTTAAATAGATCCTGTGGGTAGCACACCACTTCCACTTACCCAGTTTTTTCTTCTTTTTTCTCACTTTCTTCACACCGCCTTCAACAACTTCTGAGCCAAGCATTGAGTCGTGCTTCTTTAATTTTTTAACCGGTGTCGAAAAAGCAACGTCATCCTCCTCCAATTCGGAAGAGCTGTTCTTATGCTTAGAGGACGGTCTGTGTTTTTTGGATAGAACTTGCATAGGCGATAAGTAGGGCAAGTTCTGATGCAAAGTCGTCGCCGCATAGTCGCTCTCGGAGCTGCTCGACGAATCTCTTTGGTGTAAAGGCTTAATAACTTTACCGGCCTTCTGAGCTTCCACGACTTCAGTATTCATTGGACCAATGAGTTCCCTAAACTTGTCCAAATTGTCCTCTTCAAACAGATCCTCTCTAGGAAAATCGATTTCATTAAAAACAATAGTTTTTACGCTATTGTTGAAATCCTTGGGCATTTCTGATGTACTGGTGCTACTTTCAGTTTCATAGACGTCGGTGGGCTGGGCAGGCCGAGCGAATTCAACATCCTGAAAATCGGACCCGTGCAGGCTGAAATTAAATTTTTCCGAGCTTGTGGTCGGCACCAAAAAATCGTTGGAGCAGTCTTCAAACTCTTGAGACAGTTTGTTTGGTGGGACATCTTCAGGTTGTTTTTCTTCTTCATCATCATCGTCGTCGTCTTCCAAGTTGATGAAAGGCACTGGGGGTGGTTCTATATATACAATATCGTCATCGTCTTCATCATTATCATAATGTTCAGGTTGCTCCTCTCGTGGCATACTGCTGGCCACCTCAACCTGTTCGTTAGCACAGTCCCTATTCATGTCGGGTTGCCAGTCAGTAACCTCTACACCCGAACTATCATCACTGTCGCTGAGTAAGCTAATTACTTCACTCCTGGCCGGCCCCTGTTGCTTGTTTAAAATGTACGACCTGCACTGCTCTTGTTTGTTTTTCTTTGTTATTTGATTATTAAGTCGATTTGAAAACCTCTTGTTTAGCTTGTTGAAAAATACTTTTTCAGACAGCTTGCCGGCTTCAAATCTTTTTAAATCAGCCTCACACTGATTGGTCCATAAGTCTTTGTAGTTTTTTAATCGATTCCAAAAGTGCTTGCTAGGTAAAATACACTGACGGATTCTGATGTTTCTCACTCGTCTCGGTGCTCTCGGGACTTTGTGGGTTTGTGTATAGGTGTGAATTGTGCTACTTGAAGACACACCTAGTGGAATGTACCCACCACTATCAAGCTCCGCAATTGACGAAATTGAGCCTTGAAGTGGCGCAGGGGTCGAGTCAGTCTGATCGATTTGAGGCAGCTCCTCTGGAGGATCTATTGGTAATCCAAGCCCTGAAATTTCACAACAACCGATGATGATGAAGTTTCCAAACTTAGCGACAAATATAAAATTTTTAATTTTATCAGAATAGTGGTCTTTCTAGAGTTTACCTCACCTGTACTAGGTCTTTCCAAAGATGCTAAATCATTTTGACTCCCTGACGATGACGGTCTTGGATCGTTCTGATATTCAGCTGGCTGGGTCGCTTCGATATGATCAGATTTCCCATAATATATCTGAGCATACAGAAGTGCCTCAATGTCCTCATCTATGACCTCGTCAGTCTGAAGAAAAATGTAACTCGTGTACATGCAATTTCGTGTAGGCTATAGGACCTGGTCTGATCTCATTGCATAGCTCGTCTCAGAAATGGCTCAGAGCACGATGATATTTGAGTGCAACCTTCACTTACCAACATGCCATAAACCAGTGTGAATCTTATAAGCAATATACAGAGAACAAATAATCGGGTTTATTGCCGATGTGGGTCCCCAGATCTGCACAGTAACTTGCTTAATGTTAAAACATCACATACCTTGTGGAAAATGCAGTTAAAAACAATGTGTATTTAAGGTTAGTCGCGCCAGTTGATCGGACTGTCATTTCCAGCGACATATAACTCTTTGCAACATCCAGTGGCAGGCCGCAAGCAAGCATCACGTGATGGACGTTGACGTCATCGACCAAGGCGATTGAAACACAATTTTCATTTATTTTAATATTTGAATGTTTTCTTCGTCAAATATGGTGTTCAAATTGATATTGTGTTCTATAAACAGGTTTGCGTAGCCCAGTATTATTTCAAGTGCTGTTTCTACTGATAAGTTACGTGTGTGCCTTTAAATAGGTACAGCATTGCACATTCTTGAAGTTGCTCGGAAAGTTCCAAAATTATCTTAGTAAATATATGTATATTATTATAGTAAAATATTTATTATTATAGTTAAAAATAAAACAGATAGAAAATTGATGAAGTAAAAAAAATAAATTTCTACCAAGCTGCTCAGTTCATTTTAGCCAAGATTTCAAATTCATTAGGACATAGAGTAGAAAACGTAAAACAAACTCTTGATTGTCTGAGGGAACTAAAACACAACTTTATAAGAAACTTACTACGTGTGTAAGTATGAAAGTATAAGTGTGAAAAGTATAAACGGTAGGTACATAATTACACCTATTTTGCCTTAGCTGTTTCTAACTCCATTTATAGGGCGTTATCTATCTTCTGATAAATAATACTCTTTAAATAGTATAATAGAAGGCGCTAACGAATAAATATGCATCAACCGCCTCTTTGAGGTGACGTCACAATTCATTGCTACAGATCTTACGGTGGCTTCGATGTAGAAAACAGATAACTTTTACTGAACATAACCTTACCTCGAATGTGCCACAAAATATCCCCCTTAAAACATATATATATATATAAACAAACCAGGGGGTTGTTCTGACTGTGCAACTTTCTGTTTCAGAACTGCTATAGTCAAATTGATCTGCAAAAATTAAGAGGATCCTAAATTAAGTTGAACTGAAGCGCGAGATGTCGACCGGTCCCAGTTCAAAGGAGGCCCATGACCTCCCTAAGAAAGTACCCAAGGAGTTAATAACCCCTTATAAATTGACCATTGCAATCCTAATCAAATGTTACTGCCAATGCAAAGAATCAGGTAAGTTCAGTGCTGTTATACTGGCCGAAATTCGATTTTAACTTTAATGTTAGTTTCTTGTAGGCGAATTTCAGATTATGACGACATCTGATAAGCTTCTATTGCAAAAATCATTTTGCATAATTGCCCTCAAGGTGTTACATGGCCCTGATCTGGGGCTGATTGAGATCAGAAACATTGTGGCTGCAGCACCCGCGCTAAGCACAATCCCCATTCAGTTTGGCGAGAGTCTAAAGCAACTTCACCTCAATGGTGTTGGGAAATTATTGGACGTCATTGAGGAGCTAAAGCTGATTGTAAATGGCGAACCCAGTCAGCTGGATAAATCATCTGTCGCTTCCGGCACAGTGCTTACAAAAACTGGTTGCATTGGTACATAGCTATATAAAAGATTCAGTCTTCTTATCAGTGAGACTTGCTTTCAATTGCAGGCCATTTTCTGCGGCGTTTTATTGTGTTTTTCGAAAAATTGACTTTTTCCGAGGTCTCTATCTTGCACGCCGCATACACTATCTATTACGAAGAGGGCATTGCGCTAGCACAGTGTGGCTCATCAGCCGCCAATTTGAATCGGCACAAATGGTAATTGTTAATTAATTTATTATGCTTCCCAATTTAGCTATTCCTGTGCAGGGAAGACAAACCCTGGTCTCGACGACAGGCAGAACTATTTCTATGCACGCAAGCTGCTCTGTACGAAAACGATGAGAGTCGAGCTCTAAATCCACAGGAACTGCAAGCGAAGATTACGAGCATGTTGAAGTCTAATCCAGACTTAGCTGAAGCAGTAGGTGGCTTATACTTTCCATACTCATTGGGTAGTAAATTTCTATTTACAGCACTTTATGTCCTTCTTAAACTACCTAAAAGTGAACGATATCTGTGGGGCAATGAAAACACTATTCCACTGTTTTGACCGCCGCACGAATCCGGACGTAAAAGTGTTTAACGATGACAAGAGTAAGGAGCACCGCTATGCCGCCCTAAATTTAGCAATTCTTCATCATCACTTCGGCCACACGTAAGTCGCGTGCAAATTAAGTGATTGGATGAGTAATACAAGAAAGGCAACTAACTCACAGGGCGGAAGCCGTGGCGTGTTTGAAAGAGGCAATAAAAATTGCCCACGAAGCCAACGATCTGCTCTGCTTGCAGCATGCTCTTTCGTGGCTGTATCGGTTCTCTAACGTGAACAAAGACAACTTAATCATTCAGTGCATCATCAAAACATTCGAATTAAACATCAGTTACACCACGTCTCTGGCTCTACAGGACTTTGCACAATATGGCAGCGTCAAGACTGCAGTGAAACCAAAGGTTCTTTTTAAGGTAGATTTCAGTGTATCGATTTTACCCTTTTTACTGAATAGAAATTTCGCAGACTTTGAGCAAAAGCGACGTGCTGAACTCTCAGCACAGCTTCAAAGATCTGATTTTTAGCAACAACGCCATGAAATCCTCCTTGTGGCGGCTATATGGCAAAACGCTTTTGTGTTCGTTATGGGCACACGAGCTTCTGAATCTGAACACATTCCTGCCTCAAACCTCAGCTTATTATGGTGAGGGTTATTTGCAGTCCGTTTGCAACGTGGCATTGCATTTATTGGCAGAGGTAATCGTTCATCTTGTTCCCTTTTCACTACAACTTAGAGCTCTTTTATACGAGGATACAGTTGCCTGCTGATTCGTGGCAGACCGAAATCTCCGTTGCCATTTACATTGCGAGATACTCATCGCAGACTTGTAGCAAAGCAAGACAGCAAAGTAGCTACTACTTTTAATTCTCATAATTAACATGTCCATCTACGAACAGGTCCATAAAGGCCCATAGAAAATCGGCCCCGAAAGTCGTAAAATTGCCAAAGCGACTGGAACTCACGACTGATCGAAATTCAGTTGCCGAACTGATTGTGAAAAGTATCCCTGTGTGTCAAGGGCGGATCCAGGGGGGGGTCATGGAGGTCATGACCCCCCATTCAATTCTCTATCCAACGATGCCAAAACGAATTCTCTGGCTCAAATGGTTCTTGAGAAACTTCAAAAAAAGCAGCGTCATGTTCAAGTGGATTTTGCAACTCAAAAAAACCACGCAAATCTAAAACTTCTTGAATTCAAGCATTTTTTGAGAAAATTCCCAACATTTCCTTATCGATGGTTCACTTGATAAAAAGGCCATTTATTTATCTCTAGAATGACGTACAAATGAGCGTTCTTGCTCATTTTGCCTCCGAGAAATGAGCAAAAACGGGACGAAAAACA